GATTTTCAATTTCAATTTAGGTTTCATCTTTGGTCGAACTCGGTTTAAGCTTTTGTGAGTGGGGGTTAAAGAATATATATATGGGGACAACTGTAGCCCGTTCGGATTTTTAATTTAGGAAAGCTCGTTCGGTTCGTTTCGATTCGATTCGGACATTTTGCCCAACCCTAATTATTTCAATGGGTTGGTTGTAATTTTTATTGCTAAATTGATTTTTTTTTTCTAAATAATGAGAACTTTAAAATTTGTAAGTTAATAAAATTAATCAACAAATTTTAAAAATGGTACGGTTTAGTTTTATGCCGTTTTTTAAAATTGAAACCTAAATCAAACCATTTTGAAACGGTTTCGGTTCGATTTGCAGTTTTGAGATTTTTTTATGTAGCCCTAGTTGTAGATTTAAATTTAGTCATCGCTCATTTATTGAAAAATGTAAACGTGTAAAACTTTAATGAGAAAAAAATAATTCCACTTTCACGTGGGAATATATATATATATATATACACGCACGCACGCACGCACGCACGCGCCCTAAAAGGGCCTTGAACAAAAACTAGACCAGTCATGAATTATGATGTTCAGAATCATTTTGTGTGGTGCACAATTTGTTGGTGGAAACATACAAAAAATTCTTTAATTTTTCATGCTAAACAAGACGTGCAAGCACCAGTATGATCCAGCGATGATTTAAAACTGTTGTACAATTTAAAAAAAAATAAAAATAAATCTAATACACTATATTTAATCCTCGTAACAAAAACCCATCAACTACTTAGTTGTCAATTAAGTTTTTTTAAGTGATCAGACCTCTTAAATGTATGGATATAAATTTATTTAGAAAAAAAAGTTTTCCCGGAGTCAAACTTCAATTTTAACGACACATTTCGCGTTATCCACAAATTTTATCATTTTTTTAACCCCTCATTTCATCAATTTTTATTAAAATCTATTAAGACTATTTCAAAGAACTCCTTAATGTTTGTATTGGGTTACTGATTACGTCGATTTTGAAAATTTTGAATGTTATTTTCAATGACTTCAAATAATATTGCAAGACAAGAAGAATCCTCTCTCCCATTGCCTTGGAAAATAAAGAGGTTAGGTGAGAAGCATAAAAGTCTCATTAACCAAAGAAAATCATGTTAAGAAATCTGAATTTTATAGAACCTACTTTCCCCGTAGAATTTTTAATTTATGAATATAATATTTATATGCATTTGACCTAATCTTTTTTTTTTCTTTTTTTTTGAAATGGAATGGAAATTCATTCAACACATCGAAATTACAAATGTGACTTATCAATACAGGAACCACGACAATAAGCCAACCTACGCAAACTGTACTTGAGCACCCCTGCACATAGAGTGGCAGACATTGTCTAAACTTTAAGATCTCTCCTAAGAGAGCAAA